GGACTCAATTTGCACTATTTCTGGCAGTCTGCAACCCCCTTAGTCTGTTTAAATCAGTGTGGAGAGAAATCTTGGAACACCTTTGAGACTGGCTGAAAGGAAGAAAATTGGCAGCATGAGGTTTCCTAGACTATTTGTTCTTGTATTCAAGAAAGTAAGAAGTTGGCAGTATGACCTTTCCTAGACTGTGTGTTCTTGTATTCCAAGACGTAGCCATGTTAGTCTGGAAAATCAGTCTGCAAAGGGATCTTGTAGCACCTTTGAGACTGACTGAAAGAAAGAAGTCAGCAGCGACTGTGTTCTTGTATTCAAAAATATAGCCGTGTTAGTCTAGAAAATCAGTGTCTAGAGAGATCTTGAAACATCTTTGAGATTGGCTGAAAGGAAGAAGTTGGCAGCATGAGCTTTCCTAGACTATGTGTTCTTGTATTCAAAGACATAGCCATGTTAGTCTGGAAAATCAATATGTAAAGACACTTGGTAGCACCTTTTGAGACTGACTGAAAGGAAAAAGTTGGTAGCATGAGCTTTGGTAGACTTAAGTCTGCTTCCTCAGATGTATTTGGTATGTAGAGGGATCTTTTAGTAAATACCCTTTGAGACTTACTGGAAGGAAGAAGTTGGCAGCATGAGGTTTCCTAGGCTGTGTGTTTTTGTATTCAAAGGTATAGCTGAGTTAGTTTGGAAAATCAATATGAAAAGAGATCTTGTAGTACCTTTTGAGACTGACCTAAAAGAAGAAGTTGGCAGCATGTGTTTTTGTATTCAAAGGTATAGCTGTGTCATTCTGTAAAATCAGTATATAAAGAGCTCTTGTAGCACCTTTGAGACCAACTGAAAGGAAGAAGTTGGCAGCGTGAGCTTGTGTAAACTATGTGTGCTTGTGTTTGTGTGCGGGGGGAGGGTGACACAGGTCGCAACTCATGAGATAAGTTTTGGTTCTTGTTTGAGTGTGTCCTTGGAAATAAAAAGGGAGGTGGCAGCACTCCTCGTAGCCTGTAATCTTAAAATTATCATAGAACCATAGAGTTGGAAGAGACCCCAAGGGCTATTCAGTCCAATCTCTTGCCATACAGGAAGACACAATCAAAGCGCAACTCACAGATGGCCATGCAGCCTCTGTTTAAAAGACTTCCAAAGAAGGAGACTCCACCACACTCCAAGAGAGTGTGTTCCACTGTCAAACAACTCTTATTGTAGGGAATTTCTCCTTAATATTTAAGTGGAATCTCTTTTCCTGTAGTTTGCATCCATTGCTTGGGGTCAGTGGATCTTGGATTCAAATAAAAATGCTTAGGACTGGACTGATTTTCATACTTGAGGTTGACTGTTGATGCAGAAGAATCATAGAATCATGGAATCACAGAGTTGGA